CTTCCCTGAACCAGATCCAACTCTCCCCAAACCAGATCCGGCCCTCCCCGAACCAGACGCAGCAGCCAATGGTAGCCTGCCCAAACTTGATTCCCCTGAGCCCAACGTACCAAATTCTGGCTTGTTGAAGCCGGGACCAGACCAGCCGAACTAACCTACCCTATGGGACCTTGGTGTGCTGAGCCTGCTTTAAAGAGTGTGCTTCTTAGAAAAATGCATTTTGTTGAACGTACTCAAAAAGTACTTGACCACGTATACAACCCAGCAGAAGCCCCACTGCCCTTTCCACTATGCATTGCCTTTGCACTAAGAGCGTGTGTTCCTACCTTCTTACCTAACGCGCCCCCTATCAGACGTGCGCAGTATTATACACTACAGATATGAAGCGATTTGGTTCAATGCAGTTCCGTTCGGTGCGACATAAGTCTGATCAGAGTTCCTAGGAACAGGGGTCTAATGGCTAATGCTTCACAATTGCAAACAAGCATACCTTCTATATTTCGTATTATCCCATCTGAATATGAGTCGACTCAAAAGCATATTTCATATTATCCCATCTGAATATGAGTCGACTCAAAAGCATATTTCATATTATCCCATCTGAATAGAACACTATTCGCCACGGCCCCAGCAATCCCACCCGCCATCTCATAAGCCACTCTCACTCCAGCTGCGACCCCCAAGTCACCCATCCCTCCTTTCACCCATATGCCGGCTCCTCCACACCCACAATCATGGTGATTTTGGGTTTTACCCATATCACCTCCATGACCATCCGCTCCTTCCATCCAGAAACCCATGGCCACCATCACGAGGTGAACTTTCTCTACCACATGCCAGACCAGTCCCACCAACCGCCCAAGCACTGCTGCCCACCCGCCACTGCCAGAACCGCCCATGCCCCCCCCAACACCTCCAGCCCCGCCATCATGGCCGGGGCCATCAGGACCCCCATGGCCATGCCCGTGACCGCCTTGCCCATGCCCATGGCCTCCATCTCCAAAGCCACCTCCGTTGTTGTCACCGCCGCCAATGCCGCACCAACGCCACCGCCCGATGCCACCTCCGGTGGATGAAGTGGCGCATGAGAAGTCGAGGGTGAGCGCACCACTGCGATAAGAACACAGCGGTTGGGGTTTAGATTTGGTGAAGAGAAGAGCAAACCAGCGAAATGAGGCAGAGGAAACAAGTTGGTACACCATCAAATGCCCCATATCCAACTTTCATGTGCCAGTGGAAAGAAAAACTATTGATTCAAGAACAAGCACTATCGAGCTTGACTTACTCATTCTCTCCGTGGAAACCAAGGGTCTGAGAGCCGCCTTGGGAGTATCCCCAGATGAGGGTGTTGGACCCGTTCACACTCACTGGGATGGAGCCATCGCCCTGGGCCCGAGAGAACCTGCTCAACACGGGCCAAAACAGAAGGCGATAGTAGGGTATGCAGTTCTAGATTAGTGGATCTCAGACAGTGTACTGCAGGTGGTTTCAGGCGCCTGAAAACTGGAAGTTGGTAAGAGGCCATGTACTTGGCGATGAGCCAGCCTCAAACCATGAACTTGGCGATTGCTTACAGGCATGACAAGCCAAGGGGGGGGGGGGGGGAGAGAGGGGGAGGGAGGAGGGGGGGGAGAGAGGGAGGGAGGAAGGGGGGGGAGAGAGGGGAAGGTACTACAATGATCAAATTCATCGAACCCCATGACTTACTTCATAACCTTGGAGCCACTGGAAGTGGTAGTCAGCGCCGCACCACTCCCAATACTGAAGCTGCTTGTAGGCTGAACGTCGCTCATCCCATAGCCGCTCATGTAGTAAGCCGCCACAGCCCCGCCCGGCAGGTTGCCAATGATAGTGTCAGCCGGGGCCATGCGGCCGTCCGCAGTCCACGCCAGGGAGAACCACCCCGCTGCTGCCGTGCTGCCCGCTGCTGCCTCCAGGGCGAGGTTGACCTGAGTAGCACTAACGGTCTTCCAGTGTAGCGTGAGAGAGGAGTCAAGGGGGGCAGAGTAGGTGTAGCTGGGGAGGGTGGATGTGGCACAGGAGGAGGAGGAAGATGGAGGGGAGGTGGAGGGAGGGGAGGTGGAGGGAGGGGAGGAGGAGGGAGGGGAGGTGGAGGGGGGTGCAGGGGAGGAAGGTGGGGAGGTTGAGGGAGGAGCGGAGGAGGAGGAGCCATCGCAGGAGAAATCTACTGTGGCCACTCCACTGCGAGGAGAGGGTGAAGAGGCGTGGAAGGGGCAAGGAAGAGGCCCAGAAGGAGAGGGGGTGGAAGGAGGAAAGAGGATTCGGACGTAAGGTTCAAGCTGAGGGTTTGTTACGGCTATGAGTGTGTGAAACGGTTAGGGAAGGGCCACAGGATGGCAACCTGGACAATCACTTTCCAGTTGAGGGGACAGCAGAACTCATAATATCTTGGGGGTGGTAACGAAGCCAACAGACTTCACATTCACACTGGGAAGAGCGACAGGTGCAAGTCTGTTCACTCACTCATTCTCGCCGTGGAAGTCAAGTGACTTGGAGCCGCTTTCAGAGTAGGCCCAGATGAGAGTGTTGCTGCCGCCAACGTTCACTGGGATGGAACCATCGCTGGAAACGCGGGAGAACCTGACACGTGGGCCACATAGGCACATGAGAGGTGCACGATTAGACATGGCTTGGCCCCTTAGCAGCAAAAACTGCGGCAGGAAGCAGCAAAGGGTCACAAAATAAGCGGATCTGCTGGAAAATAATGCATGGCACCAGATATGTAATGTATAATGCATAATGTATAATTTGCGTCAAATACATACTCAATAATAGTGGAGCCGGAAGCCGATGTAGTTTGGACAGCGTTGCCAATACTGAAGCTGCTTGTAGGCTGAACGTCGCTCATCCCATAGCCGCTCATGTAGTAAGCCGCCACAGCCCCGCCCGGCAGGTTGCCAAAAACAGTGTCAGCTGGGGCCATGCGGCCATCTGAGGACCACGCCACAGAGAACCACCCCGCTGCTGCCGAGCTCCCCGCTGCTGCTTCAAGGGCAAGGTTGACCTTGGTCGCACTGGCTGCCTTCCAGTGGAGAGTGAGACTGATGGGAGGGGGAAAGGGGAGGAGCAGCGCAGTGACAAGAGTATTGGAAAGAGGAAATGGAAGGGGAAGGGCAACGCAGTATTGGTGCATTGAGAGACATTTGAGGCATTTCATGAGCATTCAATGAGGGTGGTGACTCATTGGAATTCAAAGCATGTCGATTGCAGGGGGAAAAGGTATGTTCATGAAGATTGCAGGGGGAAACTTCAAGGCCCGTGCTAGAAACTCACTCGGAGGACAGCTGCGTTGAAGAGGCATAGTCAGCGAGCGATGACGCGTCACAAGTGGCACTAGTGCCCACTGTGGTCGTCCCCAGCGTTGCACTGACTGCTGCGGGATGCGCTCCCAGCGATGAATTCCCTACACCTGCTGCGGCAACCCTTGCAGTTGCAGTGTTGGACGACGTTGCTGCCGCTTCGGTTACAGTAGCTGCATCGCTTCCAGTGCTGATGCTGCTACCACTGGCACCAGTAGTAGCAGTAGTGCTGCTAGAAGCAGTGGAAATGGAGGCGCTAGCAATCCTGCTGTTCACCCGTGCTCTCCAACCGCTGCCAATAGTTGGCTTCACAGCTTGCACACGATGCGTGAGAAGCTCACGCCTGGGCTTTCCACTGGCAGCAAACGCACTGCCTTGGAGAATGGCAGCCATCACCACGAAAGCAAAAATCGCCCTAGTGCCCATGTTGCGGAATACTATAAGTGATAGGTATGTAAGGCGTACTCCTGCGAGAGTGCCAAATTTAGATGGTTGGAGTGAAATGAGGGTTTTGCGGAATGGCTGGTGTTGGTGAAGGTGGGGTAGGGAATGGTGAATGCTCTGTGCTGGTGCTGTGTTTGCCTGAAGTGGATTTGTAATTTCTTCAGGCTCAAAATTCTATCCACCGCATTTGCGTCACCCATGTCGCGCATGCCTAGTTCGCACGACGCGAGATTGGAAAACCAATCTCGAGAATGGTCGTTGTCGGTGAAGATCGACGGCTATTATTTCTGCAAGTGCCGAACGTAAACTGCGGCGAAGGGATGGATTTCGTGACGTGGTTGCAAAGACGAGTCAGCGTCCAGGCAAGACTGGCCAGAGCAGTATTTTGACTGGCTGCTTCGGCATGGTTTGTTGACGAGTCCATTCTCCGAAAGTCAACGTGCTGCGAGAGGCTTCGCGAACGGAGCAACGAAACCGCTAGGTGTAACATCGAAATTATCGGTACAGTTAAAGCGTGAATTCCAAATGATCCCACTCGTTCAGCAACATAGAGAGCCAAATTATAACGAAACTGCCTTGACAATTTCAGTCGCTGCCAGAGCAGCTTACAACGGGGATTCCATTTTTGTCCCTCGCAATTTCATTCGCTGCCGCTCACTATAATATGTCTATGTCTTTAGCCATGCTCTCAGGTGACGCACAAATCCTGATTCTGGCGACCAAGGCACGTCTGAAATGCGGATAGCCTGTCTGTCGTCTCGTCCTCTCGGCAATGCGCAATTTAGGAGTCGCTTTTCGCGCGAGCACCTTCCGCGCAAGCACCATGCGCTCTCCTCAGTTGCCTTCCGCAGCCGGCGGTAGTCAGCGCAATTCGGCTTCGGTAGCGGGAATGGCGACGATTAACGCGACGGCTAGTGTCGCAGGGCGGTCGCATGGCAGAAGTGTGCTTCAGCCTGGACGGTTTCCGACTCAACAAGAGCTTCTTCGCTTCCCAGATAAGTGAGTCATGTAAATTCGATACAATTGAACGTGCATCAAATTCGGAAGGTTTACATTGGTCATACGAAAATTCAGGTGCTAGAATACTCCCCTCCTCGGCCTGCAATGCTGACTCCGCCGCCCTCAGAGGAGCTTATCCCCTCCCTCCCCCCTGCACCCGCCACTCTCTTCCACCCCCTTCCCCCCCTTTCCCCATTCCCCCCAGACTCATTGACGCACCGCCTCGCCCCTGCCCTCCCCCTCCTCCCTCCTCCCCTCCCCCTCTCTTCCCCTCCCCCCCCCCCCCCTTCCCCCCCCCCCCCCCCACCTCAGGCTCATCAGAGACATCGCTTTGGTAATCTTCTGCCCTCCCCTGTCCCCTTCCCCATCAACCCCCCACAGCCCCCTTCAGCCCCCTCCGCCCCCCTGCCCCCCCCCCTCTCCCCCCTCAGGCTCATCAGAGACATCGCTTTTGTTGCCTTCTGCCCGCCGCTGCTGCTCTCGTCCAACCAGGTACGCCTTGAAACAAAAACTCACCTGCTGTGGACTAAGGCCTCTCTACCCGATTCCCCTTCTGCCCACCCCCCCTCTCTCTCACACACCTCACCCCCCCTCGATTCATCTTCCTCCCTTTTCTCTCTCCCCTTCTCTTTCTCCCTTGCTCTCCGCAGCTACCAACAGTGGACCCACACGCATTCGCCCAGACCTCTTCCCTCCTGATGCCTAACAGCCCGGATCACTCCAGTCCAAGCAATTATCCGCACCATGAGGCATGTGACAATAGCGAGAGGGAGGGCCAACAGGCGCTCTTGGCCTGGCTGGAGTCCCTGGATGGAGGACACGTGGCAGCATGGTTCAGGCAGAAGAAACAGAGCGCCCGATTGGGCGACCACTATGCTCTTTGCATTCTCTTCGCCCTCACGTTCGGCCCGAGCCTCAAGCCTCGGGGCCTCCGAACCTCTGTCCAAGTTCACGTTTCAGAGGTTCGGGGGAAGCCCACCCGGCTTATCTTCCCCGAACCAGATCAAACCCTCCCCGAAGCAGACACATCAGCTGACGGCGGCCTATCCGAACCTGACCCCCCCGAACCCAACATGCCAGACTCCTCCACCTTGTTGAAGCAGAGTCCAGACCAGCCGAACTTACCGAGCCTAGAGGGCTTCAGCGTGCCGAGCCTGGAGCTGGCTCCGGCTCGGCCAGAGCTAGACTTTCCGGAGCTGAGGCAGATGGGCAGACGGGCTCGGAAGCGATTCCTGCGCGAGTCGAGGGAGAGGAAGGGGCGGATTCAGACCATGGGGGAGTTTGATGTGCTCTTCACCCTGCCGCCTCCCTCCCTCCCTCCTCACTCACCCTCTCCTCCTCCTCCCTCTCTTCCTCACTTGCTCTCTCCTCCTCCCCTTTCTCCTCCTGATTCCAAGTCGCCTGGTTTATGTTGCAAGAGAGTTTTAGAGGGTGGTGCAACTGCTGCTGCTGATGATTGTGGTGGAGATACAGCTGCTGTTGCAGCTGTTGATTCTGCTCCTCCTGCTGCTGCTGCTGCTGCCGCTGCTAATCCGCCATTGGACTTGAGGATGCAGCCGCAGCAGCCTCAGCTGTGCTCCACCACTGGGAGCTTTCCGTGAAGTTTCTCCTCTTCGTGGGCTCGTGGGACGATGCACTTGCCATCTTCTCCGCCGGTTCCATCCCACTCAGAGCAGCAGCAGCAGCAGCAGCAGCAGCACCACCACCACCACCACCACCATCACCACCACCCATCACCACCACCACCACCAGTAGCAGCAGCACCACTATCAGTGGTAGCAGCAGCAGCAGCAGCAGCAGCAGCAGCGGCAGTGAAGCAGCACCTGACTGGCTGCTGGGGCAGTACCTGGGCCCCCACGTGGGGGAGTCCCTCCGCGACCGGAAGGAGCGGCTTAGCCGACAACTGCTGCTGGGCAAACACGGTTATGGGGCTCAGCTTATAACGAGGATGTATGGAGTTGAGGGTACTGGGGGGGCGGCAATGGAAAATGAAGGGAGTAGGGAGAGTTGTGGGGTGGATGGGATTACAGAGAGCTGTGGAGGGAAAGAGATATTATCCTCGTTACAAGCAGCAGCGCTGTTACAAGGGTACTTGTTCTATGAGTACCCCCTGTGGCTGAAACTGAGAGAGATGGAGGAGGGCTGGAGAGAGAGAGGCGCCAAATTTGGGACCGTTGCTACCAGGGGCGATTCTGAGATAGGGGGTAGAGCAGTAGCAGCATCAGCAGCAGCAGGAAGAACAGCAGCAGCAGCAGGAGACACAGCAGCAGCAGCAGCAGGCACAGGAGCACCAGCATCAGGAGCAGCATTTTATGGAGAATGTGCCGTGTTCCCCTGGCACTGGTACGGGTGGTGGACGCATGATGCTGCAGCCATGGTGCAGCTGCCCAAGCATGCCCACTCCCGCTGGTACATCATGCCCAAAGACGAATGGCTCTCGCCTGTGCTGGTCCCAGATGAGACACCCCCCTGTCTATTGCCTCCAGATACCACCTCCCCTGGAACCCACCTAGATGCTGCCTGTGCAAGTGCTGACCTGGACGCTACCTTCCCCGAAGCCCACCAAGAAGCAACCTGCTCTGGTGCTGATGACCTAGGTGCCTGCTTCCAGTCTTGCCCGGATGGAATTGCAACGCCATTGACAGGAAACCTTTTGCTTCAAGTTATTTACAAGTGCTCCGAAGAGGCTCGGTTGAGGAATCTTCCCAGGAAGCTCCGTTTCTTGGTTGCTGAGCTGGAGTGGGACTCACGGTATCAGTTTCAGGAGGAGACGAATGGTGAATGCGTGATAGCGATGGAAGTGAGGGGCTTGAGCATTGTGATAGGAAGGGAGCTTGGGTTGAGGCTAGCAGGGGATTTATTGTTGAGAAGGGTTGGCCTGATAGTCGAAACCATCCTCCACATGGATTCGTTTGGAGAGAAGAATGTAACATTCCCTTTTGGTGAGTTGTGTGTGTTTCACTCATACTTTGTGCAATTTCCACAATCCATAACTAGCCCCAGTTCCCATTCCCCTTACGCAGAAGTGGAGACTTTTCAAGCGCAATTTAGCTGTGTCCAATCGGAAAAAAGATCCTCCTGAGTTCGGTCAAGCCACGTGTCAGATGCCGAACCAGCTTTGCCCAACCAGAAATGTGGCTATGGTTTTCCGAACCAGGCGAATCCTTAAGGACGGCGCCGCGAATACACGCGCGGCCCAAGTAGGGTGGCTGCGGGGGCTTGCTTGCACCACGCGAAAGGGGCCTGGCTGATGTGGGATTTCGCGAGCCCTTGTACGCCCCATTTTGGTTGGCTGTTGAGTTCTCGCAGAAACAATTCTTGTATTGCGACATTCGCCAGGTATGGCCTCCGCATCAGATTCCACCTTGCGACATCGACAACCAGACCAGCCCTCACGTCACGGCATATGTCTGGGTCCCACGCTCCGCCCTCCGCCCCCATGCGCCCCTTCCCACCAATCAGCACTTTACGCGGCTCCGCGCGGTGCCCTTTTTTCTCTGTTGCCAACAACCTTGTGTGCTCACAAGTGCGGGGCGGCGGAATCTCCTCCCCCTCTTCGCTTCGCATCCCCCTCAAACCCCCACTTCCCCCCTCCAATCCCGCGCCTCGCCGCCACCTGTTCCCTCTCCATTTTGTAGCGGTGTTTTTCCTCCATTTCCCCCGATTCCCCCCCGCTCCCTCCTCCTCTTCTTCCCCCATTCCCCCCGCCTGCAGTTTGTAATGTGCCCGTGCTACCCCGTTGCCCGCGCAAGTACGTTGCACCTTGAGGGCTGGGCAAGGAAAAGAAATCCAGGAGTTCAAGAATCCTGAGATTCATCATTTGGCGATTGTGGCATTTGGAGTTCGCGGGAAATCCATTCCTGCTGGGCTTCTTTACTGAACGCACTCAGCGTTCTCCTCCAGCACCCCAAGCAGCGTACGGAGGTGTGAACTCCGCCAACCGACAGCCACCGCCAACTCCGCCTCCGCCGGAGGTCCATCTCTTCCCTCATTCGTCGCCTCCGCCAGCCGACATCCTCTCCTCATGGCCGCAACCTCGGCCACCGCCGCGCGCGCGCGCCGCGCAAACCTCCGCGCAGTCAGCGCCGCCCTCCCGCTGGTGCTCTCTCTGCTGCTCCTCCACTCCCCCCGCTCCGCTTGCGCGAAGGGCACTCCGCCTCCGCCTCCGCCTTCGCTCTCGTCGCTCTTCCCGTTCTTCAGCTTCGGGTCCATCACCGGCGGAAGCCTCCATTTCGCCAGCCCGCCACCTCCGCGTTCCCGCAGCCCTCCGCCACCCCCCTCTCCGCCGCCGCCCTCTCCCCCGCCGCCTTCCACGCCCCCGCCCTCTCCGCCTCCCCCGTCTCCACAGCAGAACCCCGCCAAGTGCAACCCATCGTCGCTCGCTGCCAGTGGGTTCACCTCTTCGAAGGTCCTCGCGCCGGGGTATGTTACGAGAGGTCTTTATTCGCGCCACGGATCTCCATCCTCAACATTATCGGCGAGCGCGTCGGGCTACGACTGGCCAATGTTCCGTTCAGCCTCTCTTGTTGCCGTGCCCGTTCTTTGAGCCTCCGTGCGTCCCTCGTAAACCTTCGGTTCACTCTCCCCGCCCTGTTCCCATCCCCTCCTCTCTCCCCATCCCCTTCTCCTCTTCCCCGCCCCCCTCCTCCCCCTCCCCTCTCCCTTCTGCCTCTCCCACCCGCGCCTCCCTTTCCTCCGCTCTCCTCCCCGCTCCCTACCTACGCAGGTTCACGTACCATTGGCGCGCCTCGTCAGGCTCGGTGGTTCAGATGGCTCTCGAAGCCGACTCGGCCCGAGCCAAGAGCTGGTTCGGCGTCGGGTGGACCGACGGCGGAAACGGCGGCAAAACCGACGCGGTTTTCGCGAACGTCGCGAACGGCGGCGTGAAGTCCTTCACGACGTCGACCGTCATCACGCCGCAAAAGCATGGCGACCCCGCGCCGGTCACTATCATGTCGGAAACGAACACGCTCAACATCGGCAGCGCCGGCTCCGTCGGGTTCGGCGACAGCACGATCGCATTGTGAGTGCTGCAATGGCTTTTGAAGCGGCTCAAAAATCGATTATTTGATGCGCCCAGATTTTATATATATGTTAAACTTATAAATATTTGGCAGCGTATGTTGTTGTAAGTACGTTGCGACTTTTGTAACGCAGGCGGACGTCGCTCGCGGTTTTCGCTAACTGTCTACGGTACCTCCCGTGGCATTCGCTGGTCATTCCGACTAGTGGCCCAACGCCTGAACGGCGTCCGAACGCCTGAACGGCGTCCGAACGTCTGAGCGGCGTCCGAACGTCTGAACGGCGTCCGAACGTCTGAACGGCGTCCGAACGTCTGAACGGCGTCCGAACGTCTGAACGGCGTCCGAACGTCTGAACGGCGTCCGAACGTCTGAACGGCGTCCGAACGTCTGAACGGCGTCCGAACGTCTGAACGGCGTCCGAACGTCTGGACGGCGTCCGAACGTCTGAACGGCGTCCGAACGTCTGAACGGCGTCCGAACGTCTGAACGGCGTCCGAACGTCTGAACGGCGTCCGAACGTCTGAACGGCGTCCGAACATCTGATTGCCGAACGTTGCGCCCCTGCGTTGCTTCTCTACACTCGTTTCCTCTGTCTCAGGTTTAGCCGAACCGAGGGGACAGGCTCGGTGACGTTCCAGTCGTCCGGACCTATGAACGTGGTTTGGTACTACCCGTCCTGGGAAGGCCAGCCGCTTGGAAGCAACCCCAAGCCCGTGTAAGGAATAGGGAAGGGGGGGAGGAGGAGGGGGGAGAGGGAAACGCGGGGAGGGGGGAAAGGGGGAAGGGGGAAGGTGGGGAGGTGGAAGGGAGGGGAAGAGGGATTGAGAGGGAACGGGGAGAAGGGGAAGGGAGAGGGAAGAAAATGCATGGAAGGGAAGAATCACCTTGGCTCTCGTCTCACCTCTCCTCTCCTCTCACCGCCCACGTTCCCCCCTCCTCTTCCCCCCTCTCCCCCTCTCTCTTCCCCATCCTCCCTCACCCCAGCGCCTCTGCCCAGGTCGATTTCTCCTGCAACGGCCAAATGGCGGGCACCCCCATTGGCTTCGCACCCGCGCCTTCCCCTACCGAATCGCCCTCTCCGCCCCTCCCCCCTCCGTCACGCCCTCTCCCCGCTCCCCCCTCGTCCACCACTCCCCCCACCAAGGGCGTGCTGTGCCCCGCGTCAACCTTCTCGGGGCTATGAGTACCAGCTGGAGCTGGGGAGTGGCAAGTAAGTGGGGAGTGTGTGTGGGAGGATAGGAGCGAGTGGGGAGTATGTGTGGGAGGATGGAGCGATGGGGAGTGTGTGTGGGAGGATAGGAGCGAGTGGGGAGTGTGTGTGGGAGGATAGGAGCGAGTGGGGGAGTGTGTGTGGGAGATAGGAGCGAGTGGGGAGTGTGTGGGAGGATAGGAGCGAGTGGGGAGTGTGTGGGGAGGATAGGAGCGAGGTGGGGGGGGGGGGTAGTGTTGTGGGAGGATAGGAGCGAGTGGGGAGTGTGTGTGGGAGGATAGGAGCGAGTGGGGAGTGTGTGTGGGAGGATAGGAGCGAGTGGGGAGTGTGTGTGGGAGGATAGGAGCGAGTGGGGAGTGTGTGTGGGAGGATAGGAGCGAGTGGGGAGTGTGTGTGGGAGGATAGGAGCGAGTGGGGAGTGTGTGTGGAGGATAGGAGCGAGTGGGAGTGTGGTGTGGGAGGATAGGAGCGAGTGGGGAGTGGTGTGTGGGAGGATAGGAGCGAGTGGGGAGTGTGTGTGGGAGGATAGGAGCGAGTGGGGAGTGTGTGTGGGAGGATAGGAGCGGAGTGGGGAGTGTGTGTGTGGGAGGATAGGAGCGAGTGGGGAGTGTGTGTGGGAGGATAGGAGCGAGTGGGGAGTGTGTGTGGGAGGATAGGAGCGAGTGGGGAGTGTGTGTGGGGAGGATAGGAGCGAGTGGGGAGTGTGTGTGGGAGGATAGGAGCGAGTGGGGAGTGTGGTGTGGGAGGATAGGAGCGAGTGGGGAGTGTGTGTGGGAGGATAGGAGCGAGTGGGAGTGTGTGTGGAGGATAGGAGCGAGTGGGGAGTGTGTGTGGGAGGATAGGAGCGAGTGGGGAGTGTGTGTGGGAGGATAGGAGCGAGTGGGGAGTGTGTGTGGGAGGATAGGAGCGAGTGGGGAGTGTGTGTGGGAGGATAGGAGCGAGTGGGGAAGTGTGTGTGGGAGGATAGGAGCGAGTGGGGAGTGTGTGTGTGGGAGGATAGGAGCGAGTGGGGAGTGTGTGTGGGAGGATAGGAGCGAGTGGGGAGTGTGTGTGGGAGGATAGGAGCGAGTGGGGAGTGTGTGTGGGAGGATAGGAGCGAGTGGGGAGTGTGTGTGGGAGGATAGGAGCGAGTGGGGAGTGTGTGTGGGAGGATAGGAGCGAGTGGGGAGTGTGTGTGGGAGGATAGGAGCGAGTGGGGAGTGTGTGTGGGAGGATAGGAGCGAGTGGGGAGTGTGTGTGGGAGGATAGGAGCGAGTGGGAGTGTGTGTGTGGGAGGATAGGAGCGAGTGGGGAGTGGTGTGTGGGAGGATAGGAGCGAGTGGGGAGTGGTGTGTGGGAGGATAGGAGCGAGTGGGAGGTGGTGTGGGAGGATAGGAGCGAGTGGGGAGTGTGTGTGGGAGGATAGGAGCGAGTGGGGAGTGTGTGTGGGAGGATAGGAGCGAGTGGGGAGTGTGTGTGGGAGGATAGGAGCGAGTGGGGAGTGTGTGGTTGGGAGGATAGGAGCGAGTGGGGGAGTGTGTGTGGGAGGATAGGAGCGAGTGGGGAGTGTGTGTGGGAGGATAGGAGCGAGTGGGGAGTGTGTGTGGGAGGATAGGAGCGAGTGGGGAGTGTGTGTGGGAGGATAGGAGCGAGTGGGGAGTGTGTGTGGGGAGGATAGGAGCGAGTGGGGAGTGTGTGTGGGAGGAATAGGAGCGAGTGGGGAGTGTGTGTGGGAGGATAGGAGCGAGTGGGGAGTGTGGTGTGGGAGGAATAGGAGCGAGTGGGGAGTGTGTGTGGGAGGATAGGAGCGAGTGGGGAGTGTGTGTGGGAGGATAGGAGCGAGTGGGGAGTGTGTGTGGGAGGATAGGAGCGAGTGGGGAGTGTGTGTGGGAGGATAGAGCGAGTGGGGAGTGTGGTGTGGGAGGATAGGGAGCGAGTGGGGAGTGTGTGTGGGAGGATAGGAGCGAGTGGGGAGTGTGTGTGGGAGGATAGGAGCGAGTGGGGAGTGTGTGTGGGAGGATAGGAGCGAGTGGGGAGTGTGTGTGGGAGGATAGGAGCGAGTGGGGAGTGTGTGGGAGGATAGGAGCGAGTGGGGAGTGTGTGTGGGAGGATAGGAGCGAGTGGGGAGTGTGTGTGGGAGGATAGGAGCGAGAGGGGAGTGTGTGAGGGAGGATAGGAGCGAGAGGGGAGTGTGTGTGGGAGGATAGGAGCGAGTGGGGAGTGTGTGTGGGAGGATAGGAGCGATGGGGAGTGTGTGTGGGAGGATAGGAGCGAGAGGGGAGTGTGTGTGGGAGGATAGGAGCGAGTGGGGAGTGTGTGTGGGAGGATAGGAGCGAGTGGGGAGTGTGTGTGGGAGGATAGGAGCGAGTGGGGAGTGTGGTGTGGGAGGATAGGAGCGAGTGGGGAGTGTGTGTGGGAGGAATAGGAGCGAGTGGGGAGTGTGTGTGGGAGGATAGGAGCGAGTGGGGGGTTTGAGAGAATGTGTGGGTGTGGGAGTGTGTGGGCTCGAGAATGTGTGTCAGTTCTCTGGCCCACGTCTACCTTTTCCGGCTTCTACTAGTATAAGCTTGAGCTGGGGAGTGGCAAGAACGAGGGGAGTGGCAAGTAAGTGCGGACGCGTGGCCGGCCACAACCCCCCTGCCCCCTCCTCATTCTTCTCCCTCCCCTCCCTCCCCCTTGCTCCCTCCCCTCCCCTCCCCTTGCTCCCTCCCCCTCCCCACCCCTTGCTGCCTCCACTTACCCACCCCCTTTTTTCCTCCCCTTCCCACCCTCTTGCTCTCTCCCCTTCCCACCCTCTTGCTCTCTCCCCCTCCCCACTCTCTCGCCCCCTCCTCCCCCTTCCCCCCCCCCAGCTACCTGCTGCACTGGAAGTTTCCATCCGCCACGGTCATCGACTTCCTCCTCGAGGCGCGCTCCAACACCCTCATCAAGGACTCGTGGCTGGCCGTCGGATGGTCCAAGAAGAAGGGCAAGATGAAGGGCGCAGATGCAGTCATCGGGAACCTCCCAGGGGTGGGGGCGTTTGTCCTGGGCGGCTATAAAGCCAAGGACATCCAGCAGACCAGCTCCTTCTCCCTGGGAACCACGGCTGTGTCCACCACGACCGAAGGCGGGACGTCCATCACCTTCAGCCGGACGGTTGGCACAGGGAACGTGCCTCTCAAGCTGAATACCACCAGCTATCTCATCTGGGCATTTCCGCAGACAATCACCAAGACGCTCGGTTTTCACGGCACGAACCAGTGAGTGCCCCTGGCACTTCTGCGCGTGTTGTTTCAGTCAAAGGTGCTTTTGAGTCGACTCCACAGCCCACGGTCGGCACGGGACAGGTGTGTTTCTTTGACTTAGCATGCCACCAAGTCTCCTCCTCCTCGTGCCTCTGAAGCTGCAGCCAAGGTTCTGAAGATGGCTCCCTCCCTTCCTTCTCACACACACTCACTATGTCCCGCCTCCTCCCTGTCCCTCCACCCTTTCCACCCCCCCACGGGGTGGCTGTGCGGTTGCCTTTGCGTGCCACCAAGTCTCCTCCTCGTGCCTCTGAAGCTGTAGCCCAGATTCTGAAAATGACTCCAACGCCGATTGCAGTTCCTCACAGGGGGCTGTCATCTCCCTCCCCTTCCTCTCTCCCTCTCCCTCTCTCTTCCCCTCATGCACACACTCACTCTGTCCCGCCTCCTCCCTGCCTCTCCCCCTCTCCCACTCCCTGCAGGGGCGGCTATGCGGTTGACTTTGCATGCTACCAAGTGCCTGCGTGCCTCTGGGCATGCGGTCCCGACTACGCCGACGACTCAGACGCCGACAAGTACTACAGTAGAAGCGTCACCGCTGCTGGGGCTGCTGACGCTGCTGGAATCACTGCCACCGCTCTTCCTGACCAGCCGCAAGGAGGGAGTGCTGCTGGTGCTGGAGCTGGTGTTGGTGACGGTGCCGGTGGTGTTACTGCTGGTAACCGCAGGTCAGGTGTGAGGTTTTATGATACGGTTAGTGTGGCCGGGATGACAAATGGAGAGTGGTGGCAGCAGCGGAGCCCTTGAGTCCGTGGCATTGGGATGGGTATAGCTCGAGGCATTCCTTGTGCCTTGATAACTGCCATTTAGTAGAGTTAGATGAGGGTGTAGATTATGGTACGGATTTCTTTGCTTCGTGCTATTGCTTGGTTGGTACATTCATTCCGAGCATATAAAGAACGCTGCTTGAACCAGACTGCATTCTAGATGCTGAGCAAAATGATGTCCGTATATGCAACTTACAATGGCCCACCGAATTCAGCTGCACCATTTGGAGACGTGAAGATGTTTCCTGCGTGTTGCATCATTATTCCATGACAAGAAGATGGCCCAAATTTCACAAGTTTCAAATATAGGTACAGTGTAGCTAACATGTTGGCAGCACAACTGTACACTACATCCTCCCAGACTTGGCCCCTGTTATGCGCCGCCGCCAGAACGAGTCGCTTGCGGCTCGCTCGAGTGCGACTCGCAAGGCGCCTAACCGCGCATCCGGCCCTCTATTATCGCCGCCAAACTTTGGCAGCCAATCGCAAACACTCAATCGGCCAGGTCTGGGTGCCTTTTTGGAACCAGACCTCGACCAGGTAGCCTTGACCCAAACTGCACACCCCTACGTTTGCAGCCAGACCAGGCTCGCGTTCCGCAAACCAACCACCCCTGGAAACCTGTAGCTTCCGCCGCACCTCCCTTCCCCTTTTTTTTTCCGCGTCGCGATTGGCAAGGCAGGCCCCCACTGTTCTCGAACCATGAATTCCAAATCCCCAGCTAGCAGTGAACGTACGGCACTCGGCTCGCCATGCTTTCTTACCTTCTTGACCCTCAGTTACACCTGTTCAACGCTAAAGAATAAGTTTTCTTTCACGCGGCCTGAGTCCGTTCCCCGAAAGTTTCAAACCACAGGCAAGTGGGACATTAAATATCATATGCGTCTAGTGCAAGAATACAAATAGCAAAAAAAATAAAATTAGCTGCAATTATTACTTAGGTGCAAAACCCATGTACGCAACCTGGCCAATGAAAAAAGTTGCATGCATCATGTAAAAAATGCAGCGCCATCAATATAAATCGTTTGATCCATGCTTATACAATGCAGATTGGTCGATGGCCTTTTGCGATCTCACTGCGTCAGAAACGCCAACCAATCTTGTTGTTGTGAGCCATTGATTTACGAAATGACTCGGAAGCCTCACGGTAGCTGATTGATACACGCCAACCATCAAGACGGAAATAATAAGAGTTTTTCCACACAATCCTCCTTGTCGATGTGTGCCATATTTTCGAGATGGTGATGTTTTTTAGCATTGTTTTACGATGCTCTTTGTTCTTTTAAACATAATGTAATTTCGCGCATGTTTACTCCCAAGTATTTATTTTGTCAAGGTTCCGAAGTATATATGTTTACCAGATCTTGCATCAAATTGGGTGTGGTGATGTAACTTAGCCCTGCGACGCCTTACGAAACGTGTGCGACCACGGGATTGGGCCTAGTCGCAGAAAACGACAGGGTTCCCGCCCCTGTGTAGTACGCTACGGACAGAGCTCCAACTTCTGCTAAGTGCATCTTTCTGGTTAGCGCAATATTTCCCTGGTCTCAGGGCACTATTTGCTAAGTGTCTCCTTCCAAGATTCTTGGAGTTTGCCTTCTAGAATATGGTTTGTACTCCTAGAGTATGATTTCGGCCTAAATTGAGGGTCAATGCGGCTCAGCTCGGTACTTGGTGGTTGATATTATAGAGTTTAACAGGTGTACCCTCACTCGTCTTGTTTCGTGTGCCCGTACCTTCGGATTCTCTTCTCCCCCTGCGAAGGGTTGAATAGAATGCTGCGGCTGCGTGTATTCCCAGGCATTCTGTGAAACACGGAAGCAGGGGGGCCAGGCATTGACAGACAGCGAGCAACGAGGACAAGCTTTTAGCTCGTTGTCAGCTCGTTGTCCTGCAGTCTTCGCTGCCTCGAGATTGGAAGAGCTCTCTTCCGTGCCTATATCAGGAGGAGTCCTTCGCCGCAGCGACAAGCAACTCGCTCGAGCCTTGTCGATACCGAGCTGCGAGGGAGACAGAACCACCGGCGAGCGTCACAGAGTGGTCTCGCCTCGACGTGACTCGATTGGATTTGCCACAAGCGCGAAAAACTCTCGTCCTCTCTCTCACCATATTCTCACGCGCGTTCCATCAAACCATCGCGTCGCCATACCACCACCCAGCGCCGCCATCCTCGAACCTTCTCTTTCCGTTTTAATACTCGAATCTGCCTCTTGAGTCGGCACAAAAACCACCACCCAGCGCCGCCATCCCTCGAACCTTCTCATTTCAACGCTCGATTCTGCAAGCCACTCCGTTCAACTGCCACGTTAGCGTCTCGATCGTGATTGGCCGGATTCTCTCGCCCGAGTCTCTTCGGTCGCGCACCTCCCAATCTTTCGCCATGGCCCGTCAGCACGTCACGCTTCGACTCGCGCCGCTGCTCGTTGCAGTCACACTATGCGCCGCCGTTGCCGCCGCCGCCGCCGCCGCACCCGCTCCGCCTCCTCCCGCCGTTTCATCGTTCTTCCCTTTCCAAATCTCCGTGGGGTCGATACAAGGCGGGAACCTATTCTTCGGCGGCACGCCAGACTCTAAAAGGCAGCAGCGCCGCCGCCGCCGCCGCGCCGCCGGGGAAACGGTGGAATCGACGAGGAAACGACGGAGTCGCGGCGACGTGCAGCGCGTCGAGTCTGAGCGGATTCACGTCGTCTAAAACGCTGTCGTCCGGGTAAGCATGGGGTTTCATTTCAACTGGAATCGTTAGGGATTAATGGGACTCACGCCGTCGAAAAACGCTCCATTATAATGGGGGACTCGATGGGGTTAATGGGGACTCGATGGGGATTAATGGGGACTCGATGGGGATTAATGGGGACTCGATGGGGATTAATGGGGACTCGATGGGATAGGGGACTCGATGGGGATAATGGGGACTCGATGGGGATTAATGGGGACTCGATGGGGATTAATGGGGACTCGATGGGGATTAATGGGGACTCACGCCGTCGAAAACGCTCTCGTCGGGGTAAGCATGGGGTTTTCAATCTTAAGGCGCCCAAGAATAGCGCGTCGAATCTGAGCGGATTCACGTCGTCGAAAACGCTATTGTCGGGGTAAGCATGGGGTTTCAAGTGGAATCGTTAGGGATTACATTGTCCCGCTTTCATTCCTTTGAGTCGACTCAAAAGTCATCTCGGATTACATTGTCCCGCTTTCATCTCGGATTACATTGTCCCGCTTTCATCTCGGATTACATTGTCCGCTTTCATCTCGGATTACATTGTCCCGCTTTCATCTCGGATTACATTGTCCCGCTTTCATCTCGGATTACATTGTCCCGCTTTCATCTCGGATTACATTGTCCCGCTTTCATCTCGGATTACATTGTCCCGCTTTCATCTCGGATTACATTGTCCCGCTTTCATCTCGGATTACATTGTCCCGCTTTCATCTCGGATTACATTGTCCCGCTTTCATCTCGGATTACATTGTCCCGCTTTCATCTCGGATTACATTGTCCCGCTTTCATCTCGGATTACATTGTCCCGCTTTCATCTCGGATTACATTGTCCCGCTTTCATTCCCCACTGGAAGCTCGTCGCAATAGCGCTACAGCTCACATCTTCTCCTCCCCCCCCCTCTCCCCTTCCTCTCCCCCGTTCCCCCTTCCGCCCTTCCCCTTCCGCCCTTCCGCCCTTCCGCCCGTCAACTTCCAGCCTGGTTCTCCACTGGAAGGCGGCAAGATCTACCTCTCCCTCCGACTGCATCACCGCCAACAGCATAACGGGCCCCTCCCACTCCCTCCCCTCCCCCCCCCAACCCCACCCCCCTCCTCTCTCCCCACCTCCTATCTCCCCGTTCCCCCCCTTTTCCCCCTTCTTTCCCCCTGGTGCTCCACTGGACGGCCACCACGGGCACCACGATCGAGATGGAACTGCTAGCTGTTGGCCCAGCCCGCTACCGACTGGGTTAAAAGGGCATGCTTTTTGTGGTGGGTAGCGCACCCATTACCCCCAGGACGGACCTGTAGCCCTCCCACACTCAACTAGGACGATCCCAGTGCCCCACCAACACAAGCCTCGTCGGCCGCCTTGTCGGGCGGGTAGTTCTCCGTGGGGTGGTCGTCGGCGGGCAAGATGTATCCCTCGGACTGCATCATCGCTAATAGCGCGGTGCTGCTCTCTGTGGGGTGCTCCTCCCTCCCCTCTTTCCCCCATCCCCAGCCTCGTGCTCCACTGGAAGGCCACCACGGGGACGACCGTCGAAATGGAGTTACAAGCCACGTCGGCCGCCGTGTCGGGCGGGTGGTTTCCGTGGGGTGGTCGTCGGCGGGCAAGATGTATCCCTCGGACTGCATCATCGCCAACAGCGCGGGCGCCGCCATTGGCGCGTACAGCATGACTTCGTACTCCTCCTCGGACATCACCACCGCTTCGTACTCACTCGGCTCGCCCGCCTACTCCTCTGGCGCCGCCACGTAGGTTCCCTCTCTCCAGCTTCTCACAAACGGGTGGCACAGGCAATCTCATTCGTGGATGCCACTCTCCCTCACACCCTCACTCTGACTCACACTCGCACTCTCCCCCCCTCACAACAGCTTCTTCCTGGCTCTCTCACTTTCCCATCCTCCCATGCTCCCCTCCTCCCCTCCTTTCTTTTTCCCCTCCTCCCCCTCCTCCCCCTCCCCCCCCTCCTCCCCCTCCTCCCCTCCTCCCCTCCTCTCCTGCTCCCCTCCTCTCCTCCTCCCCCTCCTCTCCTCCCCTCCTCTCCTCCTCTCCTCTCCTCCTCCCTCTCTCCTCCCCTCCTCTCCTCCTTCCCTCCTCTCACTCCTTCCCCTCCTCCTCC